TTTGTGCCTGGGACTATTATTCTACCTACCTATGTTAACTTGCTTAGTGCAAATAACACCTCATTTTATAGATAAGAAAACAGAGAAAGGAGATTAAATGACTTACTCAGTTCATATAATGAGAAAATGGTACAACTAGGATTCACTCTTTTTGATTGTTTGTTAGTTTGGCTTGAGACAGGGTTTCACTATGTTGCCCAGGCTGACTTTGAGCTCCTGGCCTCAAGAGAGGCTTCTGCCTCAGCCCCTGGAGCATGAGGGATTCCTAAAGGTATGTCCCATCACATCTGGCTTTAGAGCTGAGGTGACTTCAAACCCAGTCAAAATGACTTTCAAGATGTATTTGCTTAATGAATAGCCTACATAGTATATTAAAACAGCTAAGATAGAAGGTACTTTGTAGAGATACTAAACTTAGGAGATCCAGTTTGGTTTCAACAGCTTTTGCTCCTTAGTAAATGTTAAATTCACATTTAACCACATTGTTGGTAGTTCTTTAAAATTCTTTGAAATAATACAATAAGAAACATTGTATTGGTACTTTCCTATATTATTTTATTAGAAGAAAACACTTAAGAAAAAGGCCATTCTTTTAAATTCATGGCCTTGTTATTGTTGTGCTCTCTGAAGTGAATTTTAAATGACACCATATTTCATGGAATTCCTCTTATTTGAAATAAATAATGTAAAAGGAAAGACCAAGATATTTACATTATGAGTGCATTTTAACAGAAAAACATAATCTTTTAAAATATAGTTTCCTAAATCTGAGATAGTGAAATTGACTTGTACATGACATTGCTTACTAAAATAACAATGCTCCAAAGTTGCAAATGCTACTTTGCAAATGGAACTTTAAGATTAAACATCTACCCTATGTTGTTTAAATTAACTCAACACTGTACTTATTTATACAAATAGCATTGGCTTTGGAGTCTGACACACCTACATTCAAAACTTATCTCCCTTATTTATCAGATATACCAGCTAAGTGGTTAACGTAATCTTTTTGGCTTTCAATTATGTATTTTGTGACTGTTATGAAAATCAAATTAATATTTTAAAAAATTTTGTTTGGCATATGACTGACTTCTGCTATGTTCAACCTTTCACACAAGTAATAAACTTACCAAGTTTGTTTACACACGCATGTGCACACACACATATGTGCACGTGTGCACAGATAGTTTAGGTGATAGTTTTAACATTGTGGACTTTACTAAATAAACTGGATGGAGGCATATCTAAAAAGAAATTTTAGAAAACATCTGAAAGGAGTTGTTATTTGCACGGGGCATATTTGGAAATCTTTTAACTACATTTATCTTCGTTCAAGAATCAACATTAGTGCTTCAACCTAGCACACTGTGGATTAAAATAAAAACAATATGAAATTTAAAAAGAAAAGGAACATGTGGTAGAACACATTTCAGGCAGGCATTTGGAAAGAGTTAGCAAACTCACTGAGGAGGACATGAACTCTAGCGAACTGCAAGCTTTCTTCAAGGCCACACCCACATTTACAAACACACTACACCAGCAGTTTATCAACAACCCCAGGCCTTGAACTGACAATTTGCCTGGAACCTTTGTTTCACTTGAAGGTTATTCACTGTAACAGAGTATGGAAGACCTGAAGGTGTTATGAAGTTACCATTTCTTTGGTAACAAACCAATGTAAGTTAATCACCTGAGCCCTTAAGTAAACACAGTTTTTTTTCTACCAATTCCAAACAAAGAAAAAAAGACAAAGACCATTTTTTTTTTGACACGAGTGCCACAAATTTCAGGTCAATGGATTCTAACTTTGTTTCTGAAACTGCAGATTTACTCAATCACTGGGGGAATCCCCTTTTCATCTTGTTTTCTAAAGTTCTTACAGGGCTGAAAATGTACAATACACTGACCTTTACAAAATAACTCACGAACTATAGAGAACTCAATTGTGGTCTTCAAAAATGTTTACATGAAAGGTTGTTAAATAATAATGACAAAGGTTGAAAATATGCCCAATACTGGAATCAAGATTATGAGGTTGACTTTGTCAAATAGAACATGAGGTTTGTAGATCTTTAGGTTGTGATTAGGTGAGCTAATGCATAGTCACTACTTCTGGTTGTTTTTGTTTGTTCTCTGCTTTGTTTCAGGGCTGGGCTTGCTTGGGTAAGCATACACTCTGCTCTTGCAGAGGAATGGGCCAATAACAGTCCAGCCCTTGGTGTACCATGAGGAAAGAATTGCTAAGTGTACATCCAGTAGTAGATAGCAATCGGCTACATTTAAAATTTTTTCCTTTTTTTAGTTTTTTAGTTTTGAGGTAAGGTCTTGATATAGTTTAGGCTGGCCTTGAACTCTCTATGTAGCCCAGGCTGGCCTCAAACTTGTGGCAATCCTCCTGCCTCAGCCTCCCATAGAAGTTATATTTACTGAAGATCACTGGGAGGTGGTGCTCAGGGCAAGTCTATACCAACAGAAGATAAGGCACGGACAGAAAAAGTTGCCAGGATGACAGAAAAGCACTGCACTCAGGTCAAAACACACAGAGATAGCACCAGCAACACAAACAACAACAACAACAAACAGCTAAATCAGGCTTTCATAATTTAACAAATATGCACCTCAGGTTTGGGTGCCTCCCACTGAATCTGTAGGTTTGATTGACAGGGTGCGGATTCATCTTAGGGGCTCTCAATAAGCATGCTTGTCCCAGAATCCACTCTGATCTTAATTATATTTATGACGGGTAGTACACATCTGTGACCCTGTAGTGAGGTGAGAAGAAGATAAAGGTGACCAAAAGTCAGGCTAGGAGATCCAACATGCATGTGATCCCTCACCTGGAACATGAGTGATCGCCTCAGCTTTTGTTATTTTATTTCTACCTCTCTTAGTATGATGGAAGCAGGAATAACCATAGGATACTCTTTAGAATTAAATGGAGGGAAGAGAGTAACTCCCTCACCTCCATTGTTTCTAACTGTACCACTACTACTAAGCTACACCCAGTTACTTTTCCCCTCACTCTCTAGCTTAATTTTGTAACCTGGAGGAGATATGGTGGTTAATGTATATTTTTTTCCACAAAGAAAAACCATCTTAAAAATATGAGCCAGTCATGGTGGCACGTCCCTATAACCCAGCACTCTGGGAAGGTGAGGCAGGAGGGTTGCAAAATTCAGCCTAGGCTGAGTGACTTAGCAAGACCCTAAAAATAAAACACAAAAAGGGGCTGGGGATGTAGCTCAGTGTGAAGACCCTGGGTTCAATCTCCAATAACTGCAAACAACAACAAAATTATAAATACAGGAGAAAGTTGAAAAATTTTTTCAGTGACTTCTGTCAGTGAAGACTGATTTATGTGTTCAAAAAATATTTGAATACCTACAAGATACAAAACCATAGGATCTCATGTAAAACTAGTTTCTTACTTATCTAGACACAGTATTTCCAAATATATATATAATATCAAATTAAATATTTGGATATATTGTTATTTATATTACATATAAATGTTACACTAATTTATTTTTATTAAAATGGACTTTATTTTTCAAAATAATTTTATCATCACAGCAAAACTGGGCAGAAAGTATAGCATTCCCATATTCTCCTCTGACCTCCTTTACCCAGCACACCTGTGGGCCTTCTCCACTATCAACATCTTACACTAGGGTGTGTATCGATGCAACTGGTGAACTTAGATTAACACTCCATGATCACTCAAAGTCTATAGTTTACCTTAGAATTCACTTGTGTGTGTGTGTGTTTTCAGATAGGGTCTTACTATGTATGTAGTTCAGGCTGGCCTTGAACTCTCTGTGATCCTCCTGCCTCAGCCTCCTGAGTCCTGGGATTACAGGTGAGTGGCACTACTGGGGTCTTGGTGTGTTTTCTATGGGGTTGGGAAATGTATGAATAGTTTCATTGCCCTAAAAACATCCTCTGTGCTTCTTTATTCTTCCTTCTCTTCTACCTCCTGGCAACTACTGATTTTTTTTTTCAATGTTTCCATATTTTTGCCTTTTTCAGAATGTCATATGGTTGAAATCATACAGAATCTAGAAAACTCACCATTAGTGATATTTCTTTTAGACTCAACCTAAGTCAAGACTCCCAATTGTTCAAAATGTAATAACTTTATAAATGTAACATGAAAATGTAAAAATAAGCATTTGAGGCAAAATATTAATTAAGAGTATCAACTGGCCAAGGTTTGTTTTGTTTCCCCAAAATGACTTATGAACCTGTGTTCTCGCAGACTTTTGCTTTTTTATTTTCTGGGGGACTTAAGCCAATTCAATTTTCCTCTCAGCTACAGTTTATAATCAGCTATGATTAAGTTATTTTGGTTTGAGTTTGGTTCAAGCCAAAAATGTGTTCCAATCACTTGGTTTGAACCAGCATTTGATAAACCATTTAAAGCCATAATAACTGTGAAATTTGGGTTTTGTTTACTCCTTAAATATATGAATTCTAAGGTATACCAACTGTTTCTGAATCACCAATAGAAAAACTCAAAAGCCCTGAACTGGGGATGTTTTTCTAAAAGAGAGGAGGACCCTTTAGGCAAACCAAACTGAGATCAGCAATCAAGGTGAGGTCTCTGGTAGGCTCCTATGCTGCCACATGGCATGGGAAGAATTTAGATTTTGGAAGGTACATCACCCACAAAATATTGATTGCATATTCTAAAGTTGTTTTAAAGCCAGATTTGGACAGACTTACTTTTAACTAGGGTCAAATATAATGTAGCTGATCTTTCATCTATCGATTATATTCAATTACAGCAATTCTGTTAACTCTTAAGGATTTTTAACTTTTTTTGACCTTATTTTCCTGTGTTACTGATTACTGTATAAAATTGTTTGTTGTAAGGTTCCAGAAAATATTTTGGGAAAAAGAAGAATATAACAAAATGCTTAAGTTGAGCAACTGATGTAGCTCACCAGTTTTAAGAAGATGCAGTTAGTTAGAAAATGCAAAATGTTGCATTTTTAAAAAAGTTTTTACAGTTTATTAATCCTCTCGTGAAAAACCAGCGGTCACTGCAGACAAGCACTGCAAAATCTTTACTCTTTCAGCTTTTTGCCAGAACCAACATTGGCCTTTGTGGTGCCCCTGACTTTCTTCATTCTGTTCTTGAGTTCCTTCCACTTTCTTGATGTCTTTTTCTTCTTATACAGGCCGTGTCTTGCAAGTCTCTGTTTGGGTTCACTTTTCTTTGCATAATCCAAAGAATCATAAATCATGCTGAAGCCAGTTGTCTTGCCACCCCCGAAATGGGTTCTGAATCCAAATACAAAAATGACATCCGGTGTAGTCTTGTATATTTTGGTGAGTTTTTCCTGAATTTCTGTCTTGGGTACTGTTGCTTTCCCGGGATGAAGGACATCAATGACCATTTGTTTCCTTTGAAGTAGTTGATTGGTCATGAACTTCCGGGTCCGGATAGTTACCGTGTCATTCATGATGGCAACAGATCCTCAGGCAGCCAGGGAGGAAAAAAAAAAAAAATGATGCATATTACTAAGATTCACATTATGGGGAGGGGAAGGAGACCCTGCCAATTACTTGTAAGACGCCACTGAATGTGAGATGCATTCTCATTTGAAAAATAAAAGTGTTAAAGTAGTTTTCTAAAGTGTGCTTTAGACTCCATTAGCTAAAATCGTGACATTTAAATTTTTTTGTTTGCAATGTGATTTCAATGTTAGGATTCTATCCTACTATAATTTTATCAACCAGTAACTGCCAACAGTGGGAATTTAGTTTCTACGCACTGTTCTTCCCCACTAACTTTACACCAATTGAACCAAGGGCATTGTGAGTCCAGGATTGGTTCACAGTACAGACCCTAAACTCTTTTCTAATTGTAGTTTATCATTTAACAAGATTGAAGTAGTTCAATCACTATTAAATAATCACAATAAAATAAACAACCTCTTTTTGAAACTGAATTCACGTCTGAAATCTCCCAAGGGAGGTCATGGATTATTTAAAAGGAAATCATTTAAAATAATAAACATTGTTTAAACATAAAACAAGCAAAAACAATATAAACTCCTCTAGACCAAAGAAACAAATGGAAACATTTAGTACTAGCACCTTCCTGTATGGATTTAAAATTTATCCTAAAATTAGGATAATTACTGTTACCTTATTTTCCAAAGTAACTGCATTTTTAGAACATTGTTGTCCCCATGTGTACTTAAAATTTTAAATTCTTTTAAAAAGTGAAATTAATATATCTAGAATTTATCATTTCAACATTTAGTTCGTGTGAAATTTATTCTTGAAATAGTCTCGGACATCCAGGGTGAATTGTTAACAGTAACAGCACATCCTGATTCGCGTTAGCTACATTTCAAGCACTTGCTTAGCTACATGTCGCAACCCCGTATCTCTACATTGAGTTTGAGAATTTCGGTTCTAATACAGTCTCTAAGGTGCTTAGGGATCTGCGAGGCATGGAAGGTAACACTCGGGTGTATTTTCATCCCAGATTCTCACCGCATCAAGGGCAGCGGGAGAGCCAGGCCAGGGAAAGCCCTGCACCCAGGAGCGTGGCCTGGAGGAGGCCTGGACGTTCGGAGCAACGCGCGGTCGGCAGGGACGCTGCCCAGGCAGGGCTGGAAGCTGCACAGCTAGAAGAGCTCGGGAAGCTGCCGTGTCTTTTTCTGGGGAACCAGGGAACAGCAGAGTCAGACCGAGCAAGAGAAGCCTCCGAGCTGGACACCGGGCCTCGAGCCGACCCGGTCGCCGCCCCGCCTGCTGCCGCCCGTCCTCAGCGCCCGGGGTACAAGGTGGGATAAGGTGGGCCGCGACGGGCGAGGGGACCCCGGGGAGAGCCCCGCGCGCGCCCGGCACCCGCCGCCCGGGGGCGCGCTCCCGTCGCAGCGCAGGGCGCCCCGCCCCCCGGAGGGCGGCACCGCAGGGCCCGGAGGCGGGGGCCGGGCGGGGCGGCAAGGAGTCCGGGCGCAAGCCGCCGGTTTCGATTAGTGCGCGGAGCTGCGGCGGCGAGGCCGGACAGCGGAGCTGCAAGGTCTGGAGCCCGGCAGCGAGGAAGCGGGCGGCAGGGAGGCCGGGCCAAGGCGAAGGGCTTGCAGACGCGCGCGGGGCCAGAGCCGCCCGGATCGCGGAGGTACCGCAGTGCCCGCAGCCGCGAGCGCGCACGGGACGGCGAGAGCGCGCAGGCCCTGCCCGCCCCTTCCGTCCCCACCCCTCCGCCCCTTCCTCTCCCACCTTCCCCGCTGTCCGCGCCCCTGCACCGGGCGCCCACCCCGCGCTCCTCAGGCGGGAACGCTGTCCGCGGCGGCGGCCGGCGTGGGCCGGGCCGGGGGATGGCGCTGCAGGACCTGGCCCAGCAGGGAATGGCCGTGTTCGGGTTCGTCCTCTTCGTGGTGCTCTGGCTGATGCATTTCATGGCCATCATCTACACGTGAGTGAGGGGCGGCCCCAGGGGCGAGGGGCGAGGCCGCGGGGAGCGGGCGAGGCTGGGAGGCTTCTGCGCTGGGACTGGGAGGGGACGCTGGGACTGGGAGGGGACGCTGGGACTGGGAGGGGACTGGGCTCCCGTGGGGTGGAATAAGATAAGGCTCAGACCGTGTTCCCCATCCGTGGTCACCTTGGACCGGATCGGGCGGGGGTGGCAGGTCTTTAGGACCGTAGAGTGTTTGACCGGGGAAGAGGTTGCTGGTTTGCAGGCGACTGCAAAGCTTGGGGGAAGGAGGCTGTTCCTACGTGTCAGGCGGAAGGCTGCTGGCTTGTTCGATTGTGTTGGGGATTCGTGTGATTTTTTTTTTTATCTGGGCCGAGATGTATGGTGTATTTTTTTTTTCCTGTCTGCAAGAGCCACATTGCTGACAGTGATGATGGTTTCCACTGTGCTGGGGGCTGCTTACAGCCACCTGGAGAGACTTCCCTGTGGATTTTCTCCTTCCGGAAGAGCTCTGTGTGATTGGATAGGCGTAAAACACCTGTCCACCAAAACCCTGAGCTGGCATCGTAGGTTTGAGTCATTAGTGTGTACATTTCAGTATGGTTTCCTTTTTCTTTTTCAGTCTTTTTTCTTTGTCTTGTTCAGATTTTTATCCTTCCCCTCCGCATCTGTTCTTTATTTAACAAATACTTCTTCAGGGCTACTAGATGCCATTCATTGTTTTTGAGCTGGTGACATGGGGTGAGCAGGACAGAATACCTGTCCTCAAGGAGCTTACGTTCTAGAAGATAGAGAGATGAAAAAAATATCCAAAGGTTATTCCAGATGGCGATGAAACCTGTGAATGAAGTAAAGTAGGGTAAAAGGATGGAGGGTATGTGGCTGGTTTTAATGCTTCAATTGTCTTTAAAGTGAAGTCTGCTTATGTCAATAAAAGAAAGAATTGTGTAGAGCACATTACTGATCTGGATTCACTTTGATTCTTAGCCTGAAAAAATAAGGAACTGATTTTAGCATCTGGAATAGGGTAGGTGTATGTTAGGAGAGGGGATGATTTTTAAGAAATTAGTTATTTTAGCTTTTACTACATAAAAAGTGTTTCTTTCTGGAAGTATTGAACTTTATTAATATAGTATGGCAGTTCCTGATACTGCAGAAAGATGCTGCTTAAACAGATACAGTGATATTTCTTTGAAAGATAAAGAAAATATGCCACTTTCAATATCGTCGATCTTAGTTTTTTGGCGTTTTTGAGCTGCAGCTGCTGAACACATTCTGGAGTTCATTTGAAATATGTGGGTTCTTGAAATTTTTTGTTACTTTTTCCAGTCATAGAAATAAAGAAAGCTTACTATATAAGGAACTTAGACAATACAAAGAGGAATTTTAAAAAAAGGTAAAATATATACCCCAAAACAGTATCGTCACCCTGATAACCTTTTGTGACTCTCCTTCCAGTTACACTTTTCTCTGTGTGAGGTGTGTGTGAGAGAGAGGGAGGGGGGAAGAGGAGGAGAGGGAAGAAGGGAGAGAGAGGAAGGGATCATATTATGATTATTGTTCTGTAACTGGCTTTTAAAACCATCTATTTAATAAGTGGTTACTGAAAAACAGTTTTCTACAAGGCACTGTTCTGGGTGCTAGAAATAAGAGTGAGAAACAAGGCATCCAAGGCTGCTTCCCAGGAAGCTGTCGTGCAAAATGTCAAGGCCGGGGATTTAGCTCATTGTTTTCTCCGCCTGCTGCGCAAGCTCAAGGACCCGAGTTCAATCCCCGGTACAAAAAAAAAAAAAAAATGTCATGACCATTTGTTTTTCATGTCAAAAAAATGTGTCACCTTTGTATCACTTTTTTTTTTTTTTTTTTTTTTTTTTTTTTGGTGCCAGGGATTGAACTCAGGACCTTGCACTTGCAACGCAAGCGCCGGAACCACTGAGCTAAATCCCCGGCCCTGTATCACTTTTAATAGATGTGTAGTGTTTTAGTTCATGAGGTACTAATATTTGTTGTTATTGATGGGCATTTTGGTTTTTTAAAGTTTATTACACACCATTTCCATGAACTTCCTTCCTTCCTGTCTCCTTCTTTCCCTGCCTTCCTCCTCCCTTCCTCATGCTGGAGATCGAACCCTGGGCCTCCTGAATGCTAGGCAAGCGCTCCACTGCTGACATCCCCAAGCCCCTGTGATGAATTTTTTTTTTTTTTTTTGGTACCAGGGATCGAATTCTGGACCTTGGGCTTGCGAGGCAGGCTGTGGAACCAACCACTGAGCTAAATCCCCAGGCTGCGTTTGGTTTTTTTTTTTTTGGTACCAGGGATCGAATTCTGGACCTTGGGCTTGCGAGGCAGGCTGTGGAATCACTGAGCTAAATCCTTGCCCCTCTGTGATGAATTTTTATGTATATATCTTTGAGAGATACCTCAAAGTTTCCATTTCTAAAGGAAGAATTACTAGACCAAAAGTAATGTACCTTTTAGACTCTGATACATATTGCCCTATAAAAATGTTACGTCTGTTCCTAGTCCTGGTAACATTGTATGATGATCCCCATTTCCTTTACTATCAGGCTTTTCTCTTTTTTTTTTTTTTTTTTTAATTCTTCAATAACTTGTACTGTTGAACACTTTTTCATTTATTTATGTATTATTTACATTTGGTTTTAAACTATATACTTACTATCTTTTGCCTGTGCTGCAGTGTATCACTAAGTTGTGTTTTTAATGTAATGCTCATTCTTCTTTTATCCGTCGTATGTTGTAGGGTTTGTGTAGTTATTTTTGCTGCAGTTTGTTTTATTGTCTTCCAACTTTGTTCATATATTTAACATGGAGAAAAGTGTGTGTTTTAGGTAGACAAGTCTTTTATTTTCTCACTTTGTTGTAATAATTTTTATTCTCATTCCTAATTGTTGTATGTTAGTCTGTTTGCTTTTAGTACTGAGTCACTCTATTTTTTTTCTTGCATTCTATTCTTTAACTCACCCAATATTTTTCTTTGGTATATAATGAGATCTAGAGCCCTAATTTTAGTTTCAGTTCGTCACCTGTCCCAACATTGTGAATCAAATGATTACTTGCTTATTCCACTGTTTTGAAAATACTATTATTATTGTAAAATTCTTCTTTGTACTTGGGTATATTCCAAGCCTTCTAGTGCCATTTTATAAAACTATTTCTAAACCAGTATCCACTGTGTTAATTAGTGAAATTTTATTAACTGGTGAGGCAAACCTCTCCTTAGTCTTTTGCAAAAACTTTTTAAACTTTTTATACATTTTTACTTAAAGCTTTTAGAATCTTTGTTTCAGAGTCTTAGGTAATCTTCTTTTTTTGCTTTTGAAATTATTAAACTTATAGGTGACCTTGGAGAAAACTAACTTCTTTCTATCTGGGATTATTATATGCCCCTTTCTTCCCATCCTCACTGTTACATACACACTGATAAATGTCATGCTTCTTTAATCAAAGTTAACATTACTGAACATCCTAGTATTTCATAACCATCTGGAAATGTTCACACTTAGACTTGAGACAACTCTGGAGTTGTATTAAGTTATTTTTGTGCTCAATGATAAAGATCAAACATATTCTTAAAATACTTTAGGTTTTTAAGAATAGTACAAACATTTAGCTTGAGCCCCTGTAGAGAGGTTTTGTAATTATTTCTAGTGACTGACATTATGTTTTTTACTGATGGTAACAGGTTCCCCAGAAGTGAGGTGGAAACAAAACACAATTAATTTATACCATTGTTAGAGTGAGTTGCTAATTACAAGAATCTTGTGAGTATTTTTTTGAAATGGATAGCTGATGTAAGGCAAATAATAGATTAATTTGTATATAAAGTAACTCTTTTTAAAAGTACCTTCTGGTCTGATTCTGCCTTCAAAAAAATTTTTACATGTCTGATTTGATACCTTTCTTATTGAAATAAAGATAACTTTCCTGTTTAATGTGAGTTGTTTTCAAGCAGAGAATTAAGCGTGTTTCTTTTTTGCACTACTGTATTTAGTAAAATTGCAATTGAACTTACCATGTAACAAGCAAGATTAAAGAACTTTGGCAACAGTGTTTTGGTTAAAATACTATACTAAATAGCCTGTTTCATTAAAGGGTATATGGTCTAATAAATGTTTTATAGCCCCTACAATCATTTTCTCAAATAAAGCAAAGTATAAATAAAGTAAGCATATATTGATACCCCTCTGAAAACTTGGGCTTATAGCTGGTAAAAATGTAGTCTATTTTGGAAGATGTGTGTGGCTCATTCTCTGGGATGTCTGGTAAAGGAGCGTATCTGCAAGCTTCTAATTGTTAAAATGTTGAAGTAATACAAGTATGGTAATAAAATTACTAAGAAAAATGAAAGCATTTAAAAAGTGGTTATTTTAAAAATATTAAATACAGTGTGTAATGGGATCTACTTCATTTAGACTTGTTTTATTTTCTGTTCTTATGAGATAAAGAGCTAAATGTTGGCCTGTATTAAAAAGCAGAAATAAATTTGATTAGTACAATGAATAGTTCTTGCTCAATGAAGTTATATTTTTCTGATTTCACAAATGTCTTACAGTTCCTATAAGCCTGCAAATTTAAAAATTGATAACTTGTAAACGAGACAGCCAGTATGTCCAGTGTTTTGAAACCATCTCTGCTCATTGGTATCTATCAGCTGTTTTGCTCCTTCCTGAGACTTAGTCCTCTTATATTTTAGATAGCAGATATATCCTTGTCAGAAGGGTCTGCTTCTCCAGATTTTTAATTTTCTAAAAACAACTATGAGTCTTGTCTTCTTTCTTTTCTTTCTTTTTTTCATTTCTTTCTTTCTATCATTCTCTCTCTTTGCTTCTTTCTTTCTTTCATTCTTTCTTTCTTTCTTTCTCTTTGAGACAGGGTTTTGCTGTGCAGTTCAGGCTGACCTTGAACTAACTATGTAGGCCAGGCTGGCTGCTATCCTCCTGCTTCAGGCTTCTGAGTTGCTGGGATTACAGGCTTGCGGC